ACCCTAAACCTATATTATGGAAACTTAGACTAACCCTAAACCTATATTATGGACACTTAAACTAACCCTAAACCTATATTATGGAAACTTAAATTAACCCTAAACCTATATTATGGAAACTTAGACTAAGTTCCTTAAAAGCAACTCAGTGGCTTCGTTAAGCCCATCGGGAAGCCCATTGCTGGTCCCTCGGGCTTCCCGTTACCAACGTAGTAGGCCACTGCGCTATGTAACTATGAGGTACACAGAGTCTAGAAGCAACTCTATACTTATATAGGGGTTTCCTAAGATTAGGGATTCCATTTTGGGTTTCCCTAAAATCAGGAGTATAGTATTCTGGGGTCCAGCTATTTTGTGAAACTACCATATAGGTATATACCTCCAGCCCCAGGGGGCTAGTGGCTTTACAGGAGGTTTAGGGGTTTACAGCCCAACGAACCCTAAACCTTAAACCCTAAACCTTAAGCCTGAAACCCTAAACCCTAAACCCGAAAATCCTAAACCCCAAACCCTAAAACAGGGCTGCACCTGGTTTAGGGTTTAGGATTCAGGGCTTAGGTTTTACTAGAGGATTTAGGGTTTAGGGCTTAGGATTTAGGGTTTAGGATTTAGGGTTTAGGATTTCGGTTAGGATTTAGGGTTTAGGGTTTAGGCTTGCCATTCTCCCCAAGGATTCATACCTCGGAGCTTATCGCAAACTTTGGGCATCTACCTAGAGTAACCTAGCCCTAAGGGTCCAAGGACCCACATAACAGGGTTTTAGGGCCCAGCTACCAGTAATGTCAACGGTATTTGGGCCCTAAACCCCATTATTTGGGTCCTTGGACCCTTCGGGCTAGGGCTTTAAAACAGTAAAGATACCAAAATATTAGGTACAAAACCTTGTTATGGGTACATTGGATATTCTAGGTAGCCGTTTCGTGTTCAGGTTTTAGGGCTTCGCTCCAGCTAGCCCGAGCTGTCTTGGCTTTGGCAGGTTTGCCTGGGACACCTACATGAAACAGAAGGTCTTGGACGAGATTCTGCCATGGATGAGCCTGGGTTTGCGTTTGATCCAGCTCAGCACGGTATATGGGTTGTAGAGTAGGGCTTGGAGTGACCGCCCTGAATAAACCCTCAACCCCAAACAGGGTCCTACAGCGACTCATCCATACGCACCAATATGAATTCAAAGTCCCAACTCCTCAAAGGGGATTATGTATGGGGTTGTATAGGGGCTGATTATATGGGTCATTAAGGGGGATACTAGGAGTTTACACCACAGCTCTCTCCCCCAAACATCTCTGCTTTGTGGACCCTACACACTAAACCTGAAACCCTGAACTTAAACCTTGTGCCGTAAGGTACCACTCGGTCTGAGGGTCGCAAGTCCTTGGTTTATGGTTTGAATGGGGTTTAGGCAAGCGGTTTAGGGTTTAAGGTTCGGGGTTTGGGGGCTACTTGGAGGATCTCGTGACTTAGTCAGCCACAGGGATTATAGGGCTTATCATGGGGGTTAATTGTAGAGTTGGGGTGGTGGTGATTCGTGTTAGTACAAAGGGCTTAGTTTCCAACACTACCCCTTCGTCCTCCTTGATTGGGCTCCAAAACCAGGTTCTCATCAATCGTGCCCCGACATCAGTTGTTAGCGCTTTCTTACTAGTTCGTAGTCGGGAATGGGGGAATATATTCCTTTATCCCCTACTAGAACCCAGTAAGACTTTCTCCATGGGTTCAGCTTCTTCCAGACTAAGGAGGAGCAAGGGCGTGAGCTCTTTCGCCGCCGTGGGCTTCTGCTGGGGGACTTATGGCGCCATGAAGCAACAAGCCTGAATATAAGAAGGGGATTTTGGTAACCCCAACCCCCAAAATTAGGACCCTATGACCATCATATGATAGTCATAGGGTCCTAATTTTGGGGGTTGGGGTCACCAAAATCCCCTTATTAGAATAATTGCCAAGATGAGGTCTGTTTGAGATAGCTTATTCTACAGTTCTACAATGAAACTGGGACCAAAATATTGTTTAGGGTTTAGGGTTTAAGGTTTAGGGTTTATGGCTATTTGTTGGGGTTTGGGCTATTATTTTACATACTTTTGGGGTTTAGGTAGTATTGTTATCTATTTCGGCCCTTGTGATACACTCTTCGACGCCTGAATCATTTACTGGGTACCCCCTGAAGGGACCATCATTTTGACAACTTACTGATTATTGTGGATGGAGGAAACCCTGCACTATCTCAAAGTATACCCTTTTTATACCCTAGGAAGTAGATACAGCATTTTGGGATTCCTAAGTGGTGCAACAATTTCCCGCTACCCTAGCCCTTGGACCCTCATGCGGCCACAAGGTTTAGTGCTGTGCAGTTCAAAGGTTGAAAGTGGAGGGCTTGGGGCTGCGGGGTGCAAACGCAAGGCTGGACCCCCGAAGGGTCCAAGGACCCAAATAATATGGATTTTAGGGCTGAAGCGCTGTAATCTTAATGGTGCTTGGGCCCCAAAACCGTAACATTTGGGTCCTTGGACCCTTAGGGCAAGCTTAGGTTTTAGGGTTTGGGACCCAGGAGTTGGCAATATAAGGGCTGAGGGTTGAGGTATTAGGAGTTCGGGTTTGGGGTATACAACCCCTTATAGGTAGGTTCCCTAACCCTAAATCCTAAACCCGAAGCCCTAAACCCTAATCTTCAGAAACCCCAGGATCCTACTCCATCTACTTTGAGAAGCCGCCAAGTAGGTTCCTCATCCTACTAAGCTCCCCAGCCGTAAGCTGCGCCCCCAAAGTACCTAGAACTTTTGCGTACTTTCGGAGGGTTTAGGGTTTAGGGATGTTTTACCTTTCTTTGAGGTCAAGGTAACCTGCTTAAACTCTCAACCCTGCACAAGGTGTGCGGCCTACCCCGAGTTCAAGTGCTGCGCTTGCTTCCACCCATCCAACGAGGGCTTCTGCAAGGCTACGAAGGAGGATGACCTCGAGGCAGGGGTTTAGGGTTAGAGGTTCAAAATAGGGTTTTAGGGTTTAGGAGGGTTTAGGGGCTTAGGGTTCAGGGTTTAGGGGTTTAGGGTTCAGGGTTCAGGGCCGTTTAGGGTTTGCCTGGAGGATCTCTGGACTTAGCAAGTCTACCTAGGAACAGTGTTTATGAGGCTCATAATTAGGTAGACTTATGTTTCTTAAGTCAGAAGACCATGCAAGTAAGGGCCAGGGTTTTTCAAGGGTTCAGGGTCAGGATTTGCGGTTTAAGGCCCTACTCCTGCACCTCAATCCCTGTGAGACTCCAGAACCCTGAATAACCCCAAACACCGAACCCCAAATCGTAAGTTTGTTCGGGCAGCTGGGAAGGGAAATCGCAAGAGGCTTACACTACCCCCAACGCTGGGCTATCCGGTTACAAGGACTTCTTCCTATGTACAGTGCTAAAAGCAAACGCAGAATACAGGCTGGCTAGGGTTTAGGGTTTAGGGGGTTTAGGGTTTATTGGGTTTAGGGTTTAGGGGTACTGTTCGCATGAGCTACTGTCAATCTTAGGGTTACCAGTCGAGCGTTATGGATGAACGTCAGGCCCTTCGGGTAGTTTAGTAAAGTCCCCAATGTATTCTGCAATAGGAACCCGTGTCCGCGAGCTATGTGGGAAATATTGACTGTAGCTTACATCAGCAATGGGCTTCCGATTTTCTTAGGGTTCAAGTTCCAAGGTTCGCGTAAGATGCGCCGCAAGGCAAGAACCGCAACCCTAAATCCTTGAATCCTTACCCGTAAACCCCTAACCCTGAGCCCTGCTTGCCACTTGCTCTGAATCACAACGCTGAACCTGTGTCTTTTCCAAACAGTCCGCGTACCCAAACCGTTTAAAGTTTAGGGTTTAGGGTCTAGGGACTTTCGGGTGTGAGGCACCTAGACCTGTCAAGACTCAAGCATTTTCTTTATTTCAGCCTACACTAACCACCAAGAACCCTCCTAAGACCCTTAATCTTGAACTCAAGTTAGGGTTTAGGGCTGTTCATAAAAAGAAAAGTCCACCACTAACCCTTAATCTAAAACTATAGTGTTAGGCGTGCCGTCAGATCAAGTGCCCACAGCTGATGATCGCAACGAAGAATGAGAGTGACAAGTGGATGCCCGGCTGCACGAGTCATTGCGGTTGAGGGTTCACCCTCAACCCAGTTCAGGGTCCAGTCTTTAGTTGTTAGTCTTTATCCTTCAGAGCATGGGGGCATGGAAACACGTGCTACAAGCCACCCTTTCACCCAGACCCCCTAAAGGATCCCAAAAAATGTAGCCCGCCAAAATGACCCCCAGTACTACATTGGCTACATTGGGGAAACTAGGGGATTATTGGGAGGTTCCACTTTTTGCATCCTTTTGGGGTTCTAAACCCTAAACCCTAAACCCCTAAACCCTAACCCCTAAACCCCTCTGGCTTCGGATGTAGGGCTTAGGGCTTAGTCCCTGGAAGTCCTGTCAAATACTCGCTGCAAAGTTTGGTAACACCA